CTGTTATGGGAAGGAGCATTAAAATCACAACTTGGTTCTATTTTTTTGTCCATATGAATGTTAAATACATCAGCTGAGGAATTTAACTGATTTAAAAATGTGGCTTTTCAAATTTAAAACAATAGGTTTCACTAAATAAACACGGAGCTGTGACAAAACCATTGCTAATAGCATCATTTAAAAGATATAAACTGTTACTTATAGATTACAGATTGGGCTTTTAAGTGACAAGAAGAACAATATCTACATTCTTGAGCTGAAACGTTTTGCAGACAGTAACACATTTCTCAGACTCACTGAATAAGGTTATCTTGGCTTGAATTACCATATAGTCTTTCAACACATAAAACCACAGATCTCCTTGAAGGAAGCATTAAATTGATGGTGTCTGAGGCTTGATCTCGGTACAGTTTGACTGATTCCTCCTGTGCGTGTCTGTGTCTGTGCATGCGCGTCTCCTCTGGTGGGAAACAATGTGAACTTCATTGACTCCCACATGCACAGAAGGATGACATCAGAAAGAAGTCGTCTCTGTCAGATGCAATAAAGAGACGTCCACAAGTGCGTAGTTCCCCATCCTTCACACTTTGTGTACACCCAACCCACAACATAAATTAGCTATGGTGACTATTCTCAGCCATCCAAGGCAAGGACAGCTGCAGAGAAAAGGAAGCACTGGGGGTGTGCTGCAAGCCAGGTTTCACCGAATTTAAACAGCAAATTCAAATGAGATGTTGCAAAATTCATTTTCTGACAGTAGCCCTTTCCCTTCTGTAACGCACGTCTGTTAATTTTTAACAAAAGGGTTCACAAATACATGAGTCCTTTTGTACAGTTTCCTCAGATGAGATCTATGGCACTGTGAACAAAAGACACTCCTTCAATGACAAGTGCCAAGTACATCAGCCAGTCCTTCTTTTCAAGTAATTCCAACCCTGGCTATTCAGGGTTTGCCCTGTGGCGAGACTGAGCACTTCGTTCTCCAGAAATAGCCATAGCTCATCTTTCACAAGGACTCAGGTCGTCTTATCACAGGGAGAGACATTCATTTGAATTTCCGTCTTTTCAATATGCCTGGCAATCACGATGCCCGGTTAATATTGAGGCTTGGGGAGTTCTTGGTGTTGTTCTCCCCCCAGGCTCTGTGGCAGGCACAAAGGACGTGTAACTTGACATCAAATATCTTATCACATGACTCCATCTGCCAGCAGTGGCACACAGTGGCACCTCAGCAGCTCTCCACCACGATCCACCGTGTGTTTACTCTTTGCTGTACTGATAGCATTCAACACCGTTTGTTCTTAAAAACACATTGGTTTTTGAATGAATATGCTCAAGTACAGATGCTAAAACCAAAATAATGCAATGCCACAGGCTAAACACAAAGACCTGGCTTGTTTCGCCGGCTGTCTGTTTGTCCACAGCGCCTCATGAGATCTGAACGTACGTTTGTTCCCTGTTCATAGCGGAATAGCAAAACTGGCTTAGCACATCTAATTAACACCCGAACACACCTTGACAACTTCTGCATGACACTCACTCAGCTAAAATCTTTTTAGAATAGCGCACACACACAAGCCACACTTCAACTGCAAAGAGAGGCATTTTTCTTGATAAATTTAAGATAAAAGACATGGCACTCATTTTCTCCCATGACATATTTGTTCTTTAACAACAAATCAATGGCTGTGAAAGCTTGGCACCTGAATACAGAACAATGGGGAGATGAAGCGAAGATTGTCTTCATTAGGCACATTAATATTCATAGAAAGTAGAAAATCTGACACCACAGAGGACTTGGTAACCTTTTCTCATATTAGATTTTTTTTCAACTTCTTAACACAATTAAAGTCCAGCAATGACTTAATTAATGCGGCTTTCTGTCAGGCGCTTTAAAGAACTGTCAATTTGGCCCGGGTCTGCCTGTCAGCGGGGAAGAAAGACAGTCATCCCACTCTTACAGGAGACAGTCGGAATCACAGTGCCGGATAAAGTCACATTCTCAGACACCTTGCCAAATTGATTCTTTTAAGGGTTTGCTTGCAGATTACCATTTCTTCGCTCCTGTCTCTTATTCTGCACCAGTCAAATTTGAGGGAAAATCTAAATTCAGTTTTAGACTCTGGCTATTACCATCCTCTCCTATTGTGCTCGTTGCTGCTGATACCCAGTTAAATTATGATTTAAATGAAACATTTCTTGTGTGAGACGGTGTCCTCTGAGCTCTGAATCAATTACCAAGATATCTGGGATAATATGGCGAGGTTAGAGTGCGTTGCCCTTGTGTTTGTGAAGGTTCGTGAATCACCAACATTAGCTCAATTATTCGTTTGCTTACCGCACAGTTTCTTTCACATTACGCATATTCTCTATATGCCCTTATGACAAATACACCAGGAATACATGGGTTTTTTGATGGTGCTGTGAGTTTCTTGGAAAAATCAGCCCTATGTGTGCAGAGCACTGAAGCTGTGTGGAACTAGACGGGTGCATTTCCTTTTTCCAAGTGGAAGCCACAGGCTGTCCAAACAAGATGACAGAGCAAATGGCTGCTGCTAATGACTGATTCACCTCTTGCCTGGGTTTTGATCAAAAATAGCTCCTTCTCCATTCTCCTTCTGAAATGGCAGCGACCAAAATTGAGGTAATGGCCCTTACTTTAGAGGCTGACACAGCTGCAGGATTTGTTATCACTCTGACTGAGATTAGTCTCACTTTACAATAGGTGAGCTGAGATACTGAAGAAGCCCTGAATTATTAGAAACAGTGCAACCAAAACAGAAATGAAATATGCACGTTGTTGCTGTTTTGCAGGGCTCTTTTAGGAACTCCTCCTACGGCCTACCAAATATAATCTTTGAGTGGTGTGTATTTAATACTGAGAGAGAAATGCAGTCAAAATCTGATTTGAACATTCATTTTCTCATCTATCCACTAGGTGCGCCCGGTGGGGATTCATACACTGCGATTCTCTGTATTAATGAACCAATACCTGTGATCATTCTGCAGGAGGTGTAACTGGCTTGGCAGGTGTGCTGCCACTGGGAAACAGATTAAAATAGTCAGGGTTCCTTTCAAGGCTTGTACAGAAAACAATGAAGGCTTCACAAGGTAATCATGCCATTATATGAGACGGAGGGACTAATTGGAATTATACTAGAACAGGCAGGGAGCTCATTAAAACCTTGAGCACTACCTCATGATAAACAGTCACTTTAAGGGCTGGCACTAATATGATGAGGCAAAGTCTTTATTTCTCACTTTCCAACGAACACATCTGATGTTTAAGCTCCTTACACTCACTCAGCAGGTATCGCATGGAATGTAAGACTCCTTAATTGCCACTGGAAATTAGTAGCGTGGTTATGTGGAGAGCTTTTGTCATCATGCAGAAACAGAGTGAGATCTCTCACAGTCTGTTTCATGTTGAATTCCTGTGCTACAGCCTCACTGTGCTTTTCATACTTCATGTTAAGATATTTTGTCATCTGCTCTTCAAAATTCATGTTGTTACTACAAATTGAACTGTGTCAATATATTAAGTGTTAAACTTTGCTCATTATAATCCTATAAAACCCCACCAATACAGAATCATAATAATACAGTGAGCTGGTTATGGACTCTGACAACCTGTGATTAAAATCAGACTCATTTTGCTTGATGAGAAATTGGCTTTACCCAAAATAACTTTATATCCCCCTGCTATCCAACCACAGTTCATTAGCTCCATCTTTCTCAGGCAGGATTCTTTGTGCCATTTTGACTGTATTCAAATCTCTTTAATGCCATCTCATGTTTAAAGACTGGCCATAAATCCCATATCAGTTCTTAATGACCACTGCCGGCCAGCCGGTAATATGTCATTGTTCGCAGGCGATCACCCAGCGGGGAATAGACCATGCCAGTCTTTGTAATTGCACACCCAGAAAGATTTATATTGCCATTATGCACACCCATAAGAAATAATTCAAACATATCATTGAAAAAAAAACCTGCCTGCACATTGCTGATCCCCAAATCGGCACTGAGCATCTAGCTGGTATAATACTGCCTCTGCTAACACCACTTTACTGTCTCACAGTAAAGATGTCTTCAATGCTCATATTCCATATGTCTGTTTATTAGCGATACTGCTTCCCCTTCTGCGGGGTGCATAGGGAGAGTATGCAGAGGCTCTATAGGAAAACGCAAGGTGTCATATAACTGCTGGAGCACTACAGTGGCTATGTGGCTGGAACAGTCCCTGTATATCAATCAGCCGCTGCAGTATGCATCCTAAACAAACTCCTCCATGTACACTCTGCTCCTGCTTTTTTTTTTTTTTTCCTAAGCGCCTGCAATCCTTGGATGGCTTGGAGGTGTGGTGATTGAAGACGCAGTTAGCTGAACTCCCCAAGTGTGCCGCAGCAGCTTTGTTGTGCAGCATGTCCTGGTTCCTCCTGAGAGGGGGAGGCAGGTGTAAGCTGACGCAGGTTTGATCACCTTGGTGAAGGTGGACCTAGGTGGCTGCTCCACGTCCGCAGGGAGGACGGCGGCAGCCGGCTACAGGAGGAGTGTTTGACTTGGGCTAATGAATTGCCTGGTTGAATAGAATTACATCATGCCTGTTTTCTTTAAAAGACTTTGACAGGTACTCTAATATGCTGGTTGACGTGATAATTTATACTATGACAACGCATGAGGGAACAGATAGAAAATCTAGCTGCAGATTGATAAAATGATACGCAGCATGTTTCTTCCTGAACAGTTCATCTGAAGTGTTGTGCTTTACTTGATATATTCTGAAATGTAAGGACATCTACAGCTATTAACAGCAGAACAATG